AATACTAATTTATTTGTACAATTTAAGATATATATTGGCATTTATTCTGATATTAGTTTGAGAAACTCTGTAAAATGACATGATATCTATGTACTTATGTATTTTAATAAAAACATCAATTTAAAAAAAGTATGTGTCAGCTACGCTGCCATGGGGGTTCTGGAGCCCCCCGCCCCCGCTGGTAGCCAAGTAGCACCTGGCAACCTTAACCACAGCAGGGGATAATGGCCATAGAGCCCACCCTCCAAAGCTGCCATTTTCTCCAGGGGAACTGATTCTGGTCATCTGGAGATCAATTGTAGTAGCGGGAGATCTCCAGGTGTCACCTGGAGGTTGGCAACCCTTTCTGGGACCCTGCTGTCTGGAGATCAGTTGTGATGTCTTGAGTTCTCCAGGCCCTACCTGGAGGTTGGCAGCCCCAGGGAATGGAGATACAGCCACCAGCAGATCGGGACATTCAACCTGCAGAGCCAAGCACAGTTGGGAGCCCCTCAGGCACAACTTGGCTTGGCCCCAACAACCACAACAATGGCCATTGGTTTGCCAGTGCTCAGGGCTGGGCTGGGTGCTTCCTAGGATTGCCAGGCTCCAGGTGGTGGCACGACAACTGATCTACTCCAGGGGACAGAGATCCGTTCACCTGGAGAGAATGGCCACCTTGGAAGGTGGACTCTGCGGCGTCATGCCCCACTGAAGTCCCTCCCCCTCCCCCAAACCCTGAACTCCTCAGGCTCCACCCCCCAAGTCTCGAGGCATTTCCCAACTCAGAGCTGCCAACCCTAGTGCTTCCTTGGCACTGCCAGCACAGCAGGGGCTGCTTGGCTTTGTTTGTTCCTGACTGCCAGTGGCCCTCCAGGGACTTTCCTAGTGACCAGTCCTCCCCCTGGATCTCATGCCAAGGGAGAGTCTCAGTGAACATATACCATCGACTGGATGTTTGTGTGCCTCTCTCCTCCCCACTTTATGGAACTCAAGTGAAGGGGCAACTTAACTGGCCACCTGTGAACCAGATGTCTGTCCTAATAGGGTGGAACTGTGGCCCAGTAGGTCATGCAGTGCTTCTGCCTGAATGAACCATTGCCAGTTGTGGCTCAACTTAAAAACACAACAACAGAAACCACATCAGAGCCAGTGACTTGCCTGACTCATCCAGTATTGCGGGCCCATAGCCAGGGTTTTTCGATTTTGGGGGTGCTTTAAATAAGTTGGGGGCGACCCCACAAAGACACCCCCACAAATCTCCAAGGGAGCACCACAAATAAAATAAAAAATAGGAAGTTGTGGGGGCCTGGGGGCTGGATGGGAAGGCAGGGGGCCCTGGCAGTAAGTCGAGGGGCCAGGCCCCAAGATGCCCCACTGTAGCTGTGGGCCTGACCCTAACCCCAATAACCCTAACCCTAACCCTAAACCTAATAACCCTAACCCTAAACAGAATAATCCTAACGCTAACAGAAATAACCCTAGCCTTAACCATAACCCAGTCCTAACCATAAACATAAACCTAACACAAACCCTAATAACCCTAACCCTAACCGTAATAACCATAACTGTAATACACTGACCCTTACCATAATAACCCTAACCTTAAATCTAACTCTAACCCATATATCTCTAACACTAACCCTAATAACCTTCACCCTAATAACCCTATACCTAACCCAAACCCCTAAACCTAACCCTAATAACCCTAGAAACCCTAAACCTAACCCTTACCATAAACCTATTGCAACCCCTAACCCTAACTGCTAACACTAACCCCTAAACCCTAACTTCTAACCTGAACCCCAACCCCAACCCTAACCGTAATCCATAACCCTAACCCCTAAACCATAACCCTTAACCATAACTCTAACACTGGTAACCCTAATAAGACTAACACTAACCCTAAAAACCCTAACACTAACACTAATACTCACAGTTACCCTAACCCTAATAACCCTAATCCTAACCCTTAACCCTAAACCTATCCCTAGTAACCCTAATAACCCTAACACTTACCCTAGCCCTAACCCTTACCCCCAACCCTAACCATAGCCATAATAACTCAAGAACCCTAACCCTATTAACCCTAACCATAAAACTAATCCTAACCCTAACCCTAATAACCCTAACACTAATCCTAACCCTAGTAACCCTAACACTAGCCATAACCCAGCCCAAACCCTAACACTAATTCTAACCCTAACCCTAATAACCCTTAACCTAACCCTAATCATAACTCCTAACACTAACCCTATCCCTAACCCTAATAACCCTAACGCTAACCCTAATGCTAAGAACCCTAACCCTAACCACTAATTTTAACCCTAATTCTAATGTTAAAAAAAAAATTGACTTGAAAGCACTGAAGCTTTACACAGTACTTCTGATCCTCCACATTTCCCAGTTAAGAGGGAAATGCTGTCCAAACAAATTACAAAAACGATCTGACTCCAGTGGTAACAAGAGGAAGAAATTTTACTTGCAAAACCAGCAGCACATCTAACATGACAGATTCATGTAAGTACATTTAACCTATTGTGAACAGATTAACTTCAAAAAAGTTAACTTGCTACAACACAGAAGGCAACAAGGGCCAAACAAGAGGAAGATGGAGCCAACTGCCAAGTGTACCCGAGGGAACGAATTCTCTTAGCCCAGATCCTCTGGCACGCAGAGTTACAATATCCAACATCCAGAGCTAAGTTTAGAAACTTCTTATGGAGACTGTTCATACTCTGCAGGAGAAAAAAAGGGAGCTAGAGAACTCCAAAAGCCATTAACATTTTGAGAGTCCAACACAATTAAAAGCGTGCCAGTCCATGTGCTTAGTTACTCTCGATGTATTCTGCTTGTATGCTCAGTGTTAAAATCAGAACATTGAGAACATGGGGCAGCACATGATCGGATAGCAGGTGAAGCAAAGCAAGGAAATGCAGAGACAGTTGCGATGTGTGCAGGTTGAGGAGATACTGATGAGAAATGAGAAAAGCAACACAGGGGACGCAGACAGCGTATTCCAGGAACAATGGAGCCTTTCTGAGAGAAGCCGTGTCCACAAGTTACAATGAAGGCATGTACAATCCGTGTACAACTTGCCCATGGTGCCACATCCTGCCCCAAGAGCTAACACCACCTCTGCTCACCATTCAGCAGCAGCTACATAAGGTGGGCAGGTCACTCCCAAGCTAAGGTTATGGGAGTAAAGCATAGTGATGCCAGCCTCCAGGAGGGACCTGGGGATCCCCTGGAATAACAGCTCATCTCCAGACTATAGAGATCAGCCCCCCTGGAGAGAATGGAGGCTTTGGAGGGTGGGCTCTCTACGGCATTGTGCACCCCACTGAGGTCCCCCTGTCCTCCCCCGGCTCCATCCCGGTATCTCCAAGGGTTTCCCAACTGTCCCTCCACCCTGTGCCCAGGAGGGACTTGGCAACCCTAGTCAAGTGTGGCCTGCTAGCCTGCCCATCCTGCACACCATGAAGTTCTCAACCTCCCCACTGAAGAATGATGGTTGCCAACCTCCAGGTGGTGTCTGAAGTTCTCCTGTTCTTACAACTGATCCCCGGACAGCAGAGATCAGTTCCCCTGGAGAAACTGACTGCTTTGGAAGGTGGAGTGTATGGCATTAGACTCCACTGAAGTGTTGGATATTGTAACTGCATGCAAGAGGATCTGGGAGGGAGAGGGTTAAGAGAATTCTCTGCTGGGGGGGTACACTTGGCAGCCCCACCCTCTCAGCAGTTAAATATGGAGCCTCTTGCCTGCCTTCTGTATTCATCCTGTATGGGACCTCTCTTCTTCTCTCTCTTATCTGGGCTTAGCAGTTAAATGTGGAGCCTCTTGCCTGCCTTCTGTTTTCATCCTGTATGGGACCTCTCTCCTTCTCTCTCTTATCTGGGCTTGGAGCTGTAGCAAGTTAATCTTTTTGAAGTTAATCTGTTCACAATAAATTTAAGGTACCTTGATGAATATGCCATGTAAGATGTACTGCTATTTTTGTAAGCAAAAATTTCTTTCTCTCATTACCACTGGAGTCAGGTCATCTTTGTAATTTGTTTGAACAGCATTTTTTCCCTTAACAGGGAAATGTGGAGGATTGGGGATACTGCAAGAATGGCTGCTTTGGAAGGTGGAGTGTATGGCATTATAAAGCACACTGAAGTCCCTCCCCTCCCCAAACCCCACTCTCTTCAGGTTCTACTCCCCCAAATCTCCAGATATTTCCCAACCCAGAGACAGCAACCCTACACATGTCCTCCCCCCCACCCCAGTTCTAACAGTATTTCCTTTATTTTTGAAGGGCTGCTAGAAAAAAACCCAAACGTTCACCAAAAGTACAAAAGGACTTACTCTTTTCCCTTTCATCACCCTTTCCAAACTGTGGGCCCCTGATGGAGAAATCTCTCTCATTAATGTCTGAAAACTATCTGAACTTTTACCATGAAGCGGAGGCCAAGACATGCCAACAGTACAGCCAAGATAAATACCTTATCTGTTTGTACCAAGCTCAGCAAACTTGCTCAAAGAAGAGCCAGATCTTGACTGAGGTTAGAAAGAGGGCGGCCGGAGAGAGAGGGAGAGACTGCAAAGAGCACAATCAAAATTATGCCCTGGTAGCTGCCCCATCTCCGGGCATGCTGATGTGTCCTGCTTGCGATCTGTATGTTTCCATGCCAGGTCATCTACCAGGGTTTCCCCGTCCTTCAACTGAGCACCTGTGCCCGATGTTCAAAAGGTTCTGCACAAAGTTTGCACATATTTGGACTGAAATGATATTATGGTCTTTCAGCAGAAGAAGTCAAATTGTGTCTTAACCACATGTAGCTGTTGCTCAGAATCAGTTGTGCACTGGTGTGTGGCTTCTATAGGGTTGCCAGCTCTGGGTTGGGAAATACCTGGAACTTTGGGGGATGAAACATGGGGAGGGCAGAGTTTAGGGAGGGGAGGGGCCTCACCATGGTACAAGGCCACAGAGTCCACCCTCCAAAGCAGCCATTTCCTCCAGGGGAGCTGAACTCTGTCATCTGGAAATCGATTATAATAGTGTGAGGTATTTAGTCCTGACCCCGTGGCACCCGGGGGCTCCACGTGGTCCTGCTAAACCTCAGAGCTTTGCTCCAGCGGACAATGGACTAAGCGGATCGTAGCCTGCACCAATCCGAGAACTAGGCTCCCGGCCAAGAGCCCGTGGAACTGTCAGCTATGCTGCCATGAAGGTGGGGAGAGTTACTCATAACCTTGCATTCCTTTTCATGCGCTTAATTGCTTCGCAGCTGTGACGCTTATCTTTGAAGTTGTACTGGAGAGAATGTGGTGTCTATCTTTCGTGGGAGTTTCTTTCGTTCCCAGCCTCCGTTCCCAGCTTCGCAACCGTTAGAGAGTCTGACAATATCCCGCGCATGGGACTGGGCCTAATTGGCCATAGCTGGGGGGGGGGTGCATACGAATGCCCTATATCCTATTATGTGCATAGGTATCCTGCCATTCTTAACAGTGTTCGTGTTATTGCATCTATGGCTTATTAATAAAGTGAAACCTTCCTAGAAGCGTGTACTTTGTTGATTCAGCTGTGGGTTCTGACAGGAACTCTCGGCCACTGTAAATAGCCTATAATGGTGTGTGGGGGGGTGTTTGTGGGGTGTGGTTTTTCACAGAATATAAGACGGCCTGCGAACCGGCTAGAGTTGTCTTGTTCTGCACTAATAAAAGTATGAGAGCTGGAATCACTCGTCAGTCTCAGTACTTTTCAGAGGAGAAAAAAAAGAAGAGTTGGCTTTTATACCCAAAGGAGTCTCACAGTCTTAGAATCGCCTCTCCCCACAACAGGCGTCTTGTGAGGCAGGTGGGGCTGAGGGAGCTCTGAGAGAACTGTGACTGGCCCAAGGTAGGAGAAGAAGAATTGGTTTTTATACCCCACTTTTCTCTCCCTTAAGGAATCTCAAAGCAGTTTACAACAACCTTCCCTTCCCCTCCCCACAACAGGCACCCTGTGAGGTAGGTGGGGCTGAGAGAGCTCTTTCGAGAACTGCCCTTGAGAGAACAGCTCTGAGAGAACTTGTGACTGACCCAAGGTCACCCAGCTGGCTGCATGTCGAGGAGGAGTGGGGAATCCAACCCGGCTCTCCCAGATTAGAGTCCACTGCTCTTAACTACTACACCACGCTGTCTTCATGTGTGGTAAGGGGCAGCTGACGCTTTGCATGGTGTGGAGATAAATAACATTTCATTAAACCTTAATTTCATTAAGCCTTAATTTCATTAAGCCTTAATTTCATTAAGAGTGGGGGGCTAGGGTCTCCACTGCTAATCTGGGAAGTTGCTGGGTGGCTTTGGGGCTGTCACAAACTCTCAGCCTGGCCTCCCTTACAGGATTGTTGTTGTGAGAGAACGGAGGAGGGGAGAAACGTTTACTCTATGCCGCTTTGAGTGCCAGCTGGGGAGGAAAGCAGGAGATATAAGCACGTGAATGAGTGAATAAACAAATGGGGGGGGAATGAATGAGAAGCTCCATTCTAGATGAGAGAAGCACAACGGAGCCTTCAGTCTGTATCTTGCTGAGCAAACTCAGTGGCTTCCTAGCAGTCTGACAGCTGAAGAGAGAACAGAAGGACACAGGGTGGGGTGGGGCTCAGGGGAGCCAAGCGATGGATTATGAAATCCCCCCACCCCACCCCACCCCTGGCAGATCTTGAGGGAGGAGGCCTGCTGGAAGGGAGACTCCTCCTACATTTCCAAGCTGCCCTCCAATGTCAGGGATAAAGCGCGCCAGAGATTCCCCCTCCTGTCGATCCCACTGCCTGCCAGAGGACTCACCGGCGGCGTGGGAGAAGAGGAGCCCCAGATAAGCGAAAGGTAAGAGGGGACCGGAAAGGGCCTGGCCAATGCAAGCGGCACTGTTTGGAGTGGTGACCCCATGCAAGGAGGCAAAGAAAGAACTCTTCCCTAAAGTTTTGACCTGTGTTAGGTCCCTTCCCGTAACTGCCTGTAATGACAGAGAAGGAGGAGTAGAAGCAGGTCTGGCGTCCCTTTAATAGAGGCTGAATGTGTGGAAACGGAAAGTGGGGACTCTTTCATGACACGGAGGTCAGTAACATCCCCAGCTAGCTGAACCTCCCGTTGAGTCTCTGTTCGACGGACAGGGCATTTTCTTTCCTTCAGCCAGTTGGTGACCACAGAGGAGCGATCCCGTTCCTGTCAGTGCCTTTGTTTCCAAAACCATTTCGCGCCAGGGGTCCACACTGGCTTTGGGTCCTCCTGAGTAGTGCTGGGCTAACATGAGTCCTCGGAAGGCTGTAGAACCTGAACCCTTAATGCACTGATACTCTACGGAGGATTTCCCCATTGGGAGGCTACAGCCACCCTTTAAATGCCATGGCAGGGGCAGAATTAAGAGGCCGTGTAGTTAGGGAGCAATCCTAAACAGATCTGTTCAGTAGCAAGTTCCATTTGATTGAGTGAGGCTTCCCCCTCCCCCCGGGGGAAAGTGTTTTTAGAATTTCAGACTTCAGAAACAGGGCAGGAGATAGGAGAATGGCGTTCTGAATGTCTGTTATAGCCAGTGTTCCCTCTAAGCTGAGTTAATATGAGCTAGCTCACAGGATTTTAACCTCCGGCTCACACATTTTTGTCTTAGCTCAGGAAGAATGGCTCTAGAGCAAACTGATTTATACAGAAGCCAAATTGCTCGCTCACAACTTTAATGCTTGTAGCTCACAAAGTAGATTTTTGGCTCACAAGACGCCACAGCTTAGAGGGAACATTGGTTACAGCGTGTGCGGTCTGTGTTTGCACGTCTGAAGAGAGAAGTGAGCCTATGGGATGGCTCTGAACTGGGTTTGGCTCCTGGAAATTGTTCACTGCAGAGGCCCAAGGTTTGCTGGCCCCGGCTCTGAGTGGTCTTCCGTGCAATCCCCCTGCCTCAGGAGACCATCATGGTGCGAAAAGTGGCCATTATCGGCGCTGGGGTGAGCGGCCTGGCATCCATCAAGGCCTGCCTGGAAGAAGGACTGGAGCCCACCTGCTTCGAGAGGAGCAATGGCATCGGGGGACTCTGGCACTTCACAGTGAGTGTGGAATTCTGGGGCAGGTATCCACCCTGTCCATTGGCTGCATCATAATTGACTGCTGATATGTAACCTGTATCTCCCAGTGACTTGAACATACGATCCCACCTATTCCACTGGTCGAATCTACAGTTCCCAAGCCTGGCAATCAAAGGAGGGTGGGGATATAGAGGGGTATCTGTTGGCAATGGTGTGATGTCATTTCTGGGGGAACCATAGAGTTTCTGATCATTCCTAGAGCGGCACGATGTCACTTCGGTGTTTTCTCCAGAATTGATATCATACTACAGCTCCAACAAGCATTTTTCAAACTTTTCTCCTGCCGCTGCTTAGAAATGGGAACTAGGGGTAGATAATCCCATGCCCCCACTGGAAGACAAGTGATTGTAATGGAATCTGAGCTTCTCTCATTTGGTAATGAGTCTCACCACTCTGTTAGTGCATACTGGAAGACATAGACAGCTGTGGTTGTGACAGTGTGAGTCTTCTAGACTGCAGTGATCAGTATGTATTCCAAGGCTGCGGTCACACGGAGCATTAGCCACGCTACAGAGACGGATGATAGGTGGATTTTCCGGGTGCAATCACACCGCAACATCTGGGAAGTGTAGAGCTCCCGTGGCGAACCCGAGGCTTCCCACCGAAGCTGCGGAGTTAAAAACTAGTACCTCCGAGGTACATGCGCACAAAGAGGCCCCCTCCCACTGCAGCCAGGCTTGCCGCCTCTGGAGGGTCACTATGGCCACTGTCGCGCAGGCAGTTAGAGCGGCTGTGATGAGGGGCCCCACCTCCCCCTCCATTGGCTATGCCTCGGAGCTCTGTTGGGGTCCGGAAGCGTCTGCCGCCCTCTCCGGTAAGCCCACCACCCGCCTTCCGATGTGCAGATACGATTGCTCAGTCATGCGCATGCGCAAACTTCGTTTTTTTAAAAAAAATCCATCCCGTTTGCCACGGAAGCGGCGCCTAGCGATTGCTGGTGTGATTGTGCCGCGCCACTTCTTTGCTGCGCTTCAGGATCATCATGTGATCGGCACCTCCCCCCTAACCACGGGACTTCAACGGGATGTGTGATCGGGCGGCCACACATTATTTTCCTCCGGGGCAAATAGCCATGCTTCCCCCCCCCCTTATTTTCCGGCCCGTGTGACCGGGGCCAAAATCATCCTATTAAAACTGTTCAGTCTAATTCTAAGCTCAGACAATGAGTCTGTTCTCTAGATTCATGTAGAATTATCATCTATGACAAGCAGGACCTTCTCTGTTGTAGCCCCAGAGCTATGGAATTCTTTATGTATTTAAGCTGCTTCAGAGGACAGGGAAGAAATATTACTACATATTAGTAGAATACAAACTATACCAACTGGTAATGTAGTTTGTGCTTTGTTACTGATTCTGTGTATACAAGCTACAAACTATTGTACTTGTAGTTAATACTACTAGTAGTCTGCCTAGCATTTAGTAGTAGTTGCAGTGCTGTGAGAATGTCTAGTATTATGGGTGGAAGCAGCAGTAGTTTGTGGTTTGCAGCTGACACCCTGGAAGGTTTTTTAAATTCATGAGTTTAAAGCAAAGGTTAAGAAAGAAAAGAAAAAACCATTGCTACGTGGCTTGTTGTAACAGTTCCTGGAGAGGCCATGAAAAGCGAAATCTCTTTCCTAGTTTAAAAAAAAAGTGCAATTGCCAAACATAACATTTCCCCCCTCTTTTCTCTTTTCATTGCCTGTGAATAGGCTCCTGTCTTTTGTTCTGTACTGGTTATACAACCTTTTAAGCAATTTGCAGAATATGAACCCGAGGGCAAATGGTTCAGATGGCGCAAAAATGTTGCATGATTGGGCAAGAAGCTACCTTAAGCTTAGCTTCCAGATTTGGTGGTCATTTTTCACATCTTATGGTACAATCCCTTGCAGAATTACTCTATTGATTTTGCTGGGCTTTGGTCTGTATAGGGTTGCCGTGTCAGTGTAAGGTTTCCCAAATGTTTTGGAATTTGAGCCCCCTCTATTTTTTTTGCTTGGTGGAGCCACAAACACCTGTTCCACAGGTGAGCACAGAGAGAGATCCTCTTATGGAACTGTGAGCATCTAGCCGGCAGCTGTATGTCAGCATCTGTGCACCTGGACACTAATCCAGCACTGGCACAAGAATATGGCACCTCTGACCTTCTTCCTAAAAAAACAAGCACAGAGAATCATTGTCATGATTAGAACAAAGCAGCAGACCCTTCTGTGGCCACTTCTTCCCAAATCGTGGCAGGATTAGGCATGGCTGCGAATTTTGAAGATGAAGACACAAATTGATGCAGAGGGAAATAGAATCTTTAATAGTTATATAACCCCTACGCATTTCGCGTGCAGCTTCGTCAGGGGAGAAACTAATGAAATGATTAAAAAATAGAACGTATTTGATACATAATTTTAAAAACTGATAAAACAGGACATTTTCACAGAGCAAATACAGAGTGCAATTCATAGTAAGTTGTTATTAAGAAAACCAGAGCAACATTAACATATACTACATACTGCATATTTATAAAAGAATTCACAAATTAGATAGTTTGTTAATTGGGACCTTTAAAAAAATCACACTGGCCTTTCAGGTTGTTTTTAGTTCAGTTCCCACACATACACTAGCAAAGGGCGATTGTGCATCTAGCATTCGCTCCACATTTTCTCAACTGGGAGGGGAAAGTGCAGCTCAAAACCACATCCATATACCCTTACTGACTGCAACGCCCTTACTGACTGCAAAGTCACCCCTGAACAGCCATAAAATGGCCATAACTCTGTGCAGACAATACCATAAAATCTCAGAGGTCGTTTCATAGAAAAAGAGGTGCACGAGCTCATTTGCATAACCCACACCCCCTTGCATATGCCCCCTTGCATATGCCACACCCCCTTGCAAAGGGCAGGCCTGCAAGCATGCCTGGGTTCCCTGCCGGATCTTCTCCAGGTGGGCCGCGGCTGTGGGGCACCCGGAGAAGATCGGGCAGGGAAACCAGGCATGTTTAGAATGCCTTTCTTTCCTTCCCCACTCCCCTGAGTTTCTCCGCAAAAGCGAGGAGGCTCAGGGAAAAGAGGGGGGCATGTCTGCCAGCCTCCCCTTCCCTTCCCCAGCCAGCCCACCGCGGGAGGAGGGCAGAGAGGCAGACATGCCTGCGTTCCCTGCTCGATCTTCTCCAGGTGATCAGGCAGGGAACCCAGGCATGTTTAGAAGGGAAAGAAAGGCATTTAAATCCCCCTAGTCGGTGGGGGGCTCTGTAGGCCTTCACTGGTCCATCCACCTGCGCAGGCGAGCTGGGAATGGCGGCAGGGGGGGCACCCCGGGCTCCTTACTGCCGGAGCACCGCTCCACCACGCTCTGGCAGGAAACGACCCCTGCCGATGATCAAAGGGAGTGACAGCAGCATGCGACGCAGAGGGGAATTTCTGTTCCAACGTGTGTTTGCTAAAACAGCAGAGGGAAAAGCCAATGCAGAATCAGCCAAAGTGAGCGGTCCAGACCTGTCCTGCCCCTTATCTATATCAGCATTGCCAGGGACTAAGAAAAGTGCTGTGGCATGGGATTGCTCAGAGCTGCTGATTCAGCTCTCTAAACCTTTCTGAAATCAGCCCAGAAATCATGCCAGCCTACAACGGGAGACCTGCCCCTCGGGTGAACTGGCCCGTGCTGTTGTGCAAATGTCCAATGTGCAGTGCCCGGGCAAAATTAAACAGAGCTGCAGCTTTGCCTACGGAGAGACGAAAGATTTGTTTGTCAGGTCAGCAAGGAGTGGAGGGATTTCATCCAGTACCTGATAGGGTTGCCAGGTCGGGGTTGGGAAATGCCTGGGGATTTTGGGGGTGGAGCCTGAGGAGAGTGAGGTTTGGGGGGGGAGGGAACTCAGTGGGGTGTGATGCCATAGAATCCAGGTGAAGTGATCTCTCTCATGTGGAGAGCAGTTCTAATCCCAGGAGATCCAGCCACCACCTGAAAGTTGGCAACCCTAGTGCCTGAGCTGTAGCCTCCGATGTTTAAAAAACACAACTTTTCTACATGCCACTGAATACTGTGCACCAGTCTGAGAAGAAGCAGACATTCCCACTGCAATTGTCACAACATAATGTGAGCACGTGCCCCCTGCTGTATGCTACACAATTGGTACTGTCTGCTCAGACTGGCTCTCCAGAGTCTCAGAGAGCCAGCTTGGTGTCGTGGTTCAGTGCGCGGACTCTAATCTGGGAGAACCGGGTTTGATTCCCCACTCCTCCACTTACACCTGGCTGAATGACCTTGGGCAAGCCTTAGTTCTGTCAGAGCTGTTCTTGAAAAAGAGCGGTCTCTGCCAGAGCTCTCTCGGCCCCACCCGCCTCACAGGGTGTCTGTTGTGGGGAGGGGAAGGGAAAGGAGATTGTAAGCTATAAATCCAATCTCCTCCTCCTCCTCCTCCTCCTCTTCTTCTTCTTCTTCTTCTTCTTCTTCTTCTTCTTCTTCTTCTTCTTCTTCTTCTTCTTCTTCTTCTTCTTCTGGTGGAAGTCTTTCACTTCACCTCATTACCTGGTCCTTTTAACTGGAGGTGCCAGAGATTGAACCTGGGACCTCCTGCATAGAAACCAGAGGCCCTGCCACTGAGCTATGGCTCCTGAAGCACAATATGGTTGCCATGTGTGATGACGCTTGGTCCCCTGACTCCTCTTCTGTCTTTGTCTCTTCCCCAGAGTAGATACAAATCCCCACATGACCCAATTTTTCCAGGGTTCTGATCTGGAAGTGCCGGTTGAGGGAAGTTGGAGGGAGGCAGAAAATATCAGCCCTCCTTTTGCACTTGGGCAGTCTTCTCATTAAGCCTGAAATTGCTTCTAGCTCCCTTTGTGGCTGGCTATTAGTAGCTGAGATCTGTTTCCTCTTTAGGGTCTCATGTTAGGAGAGGGGTTATGGCTCAGTGGCAGAGCATCCGCTTTGTGTACGTAAGGTTCTATCCCCAGCATCTTCAGTTAAAAGGGTCAAAAAACAGATGGTATGGAAAATGTCTACCTGAGACCCTGGAGAGTGGTGGCCAGTCAGAATAGGCACTAGGCAGTCTAGATTTTCATGGGTTTACTGTATCAGTAAGTTTAATCTGTGTGAGAGACCACTCACCCTGGTGTGGAGTTGTCTCTTGAGGACAGCAGCATAAGTTGTGGGTGCATCACAGACAGAATTGTGATATCCTGGGTTTCCTCAGTGCTTCTTGGCAGAATCCATTTGCATATTTATCTGCCCAACTTTGTGTGCTGCAGAACCGATTAATGGAAGACTAGAGGCTCTGTCTCGTCCTCATTTTCCTCACTCGTGTTTCCCTCTTCCTTTTTTTCCTTTTCTGCAAGTGTTGTGCTCCCTCTAGTGGTCTATTCGATATCACATCGGTGTGCATCCGGCACATACAGTGATGTAATATCAAATTGACCACTAGAGGAAGCACAACATTTGCAGAAAAGAAAAGAGAAACCTGACGCAGTAGGGACACACAAGCAAGGGAAATGAGAATGTGGAAGAGCCCCCAAGTTATGAATATGGCATGTGCAAATAAGCCTCCTCACCAGCAAAACAGTTGAGGCTAGTCAGTTTCTCTCAGCTCAGGGTGTTTCCCTGTTGATTCCCAATTCCTTCTGTTGTGTGGCTTGTCTCACTGATCCAAGTCATCTGCTTTCTGTTTCTCTGTTGGTATGATGAAGTCAAGCAGTTAATCAGTGCAGGGGAAGGAGAGTCGTATGTGAAGGACCTGGCCAAAGGCAGAACAAGGGGGGCATGATTTTATGTTGGTTGACAGCAACTTTTACCCAAAGCCAGGGAACCAAAGAGAATGCAGTGAATACTGGAAATTCTATAGACCAGTCAGCTTCTGGAAAAGGGGGTACCACTGTCCTATCTCCTGAGGATCAAGATAACCTTATAAGGAGACCTTAGAGCAGCAGTCTGTCCTGTTTCATTCGGGGAACGCTGAACCCAGATTTCAAGTTAACTGTGTTGGGATTTCCAACCTCGGTAGCAAAGAATTCCTTGTTCTGTCTTCTCCTCCAGGATTCTGCCATGGATGGCAGAGCCAGCATTTATGCCTCAGTGTGCACCAATTCATGCAAAGAAATGATGTGTTTCCCAGACTTCCCTTTCCCAGAGGATTTTCCAAACTACTTGCATAACACCAAGCTTCAGGAGTACATCCAGATGTTTGCCGAGCACTTTGATCTTCTGAAATACATCAAGTTTAAGGTAAGACATTAAAACCAACAGGTGGGACTTTGGGTTCCATGCTGGTCATATATGCATGACAATCACATGTGAACGATTTCCAAGGTGCTTCCAGCAGACAGAGGTTTTTGCAATGTTTTATTTATTTGTTTATTTATTTTATTCCATTTTTATCCCGCCCTCCCCGCGAACAGGCTCAGGGCGGCTTACATTCATTGGTACAAAGTACCATAAATCCACATAGAACACATAAAAACAGTTAAAACATTTTAAACAGTCAAATAATCAGAGTGTTAACAGTAGTAGCCATTCTTCATTGATAAGATGGCATATTATATGATGTAACACACACAATTTCCAGCTCAGTAAACTTCTAGCATCACACAATGGCATAACTGATCTCCAAACCAGGACCAACCTGCTACCACAGATGTTGGTGGTAGTGGTGGGTGGCTCCTAATTGAAAGGCTGGTGCAAGAGCTCCATCTTGCAGGCCCTGCGGAACTGTAAAAGATCCCACAGGGCCATGCCTCGGATTGGGCCAGAGCACGCCGGTACGTCACTCCGGGAGAGAGGCACTGGGGGGCGGGGAGGTCACATGGCAAAGCTCTGCCCCCTTCTTCCGGCCACCCTCTGCTTCCAGCCTCATTCTGTTCCAGAACGAGGAAGAAGCAAGAGGTAAGTCGGCTTCCTCCCCCCGTCTCTGCCTGGCCGAGGCTGTTCTCGGTGGCAGCTGCAATGCCCACGGGGGAGGGGGGAGGGGCGAAACGTTCTCCTGCCTCCCTGAGCCCCGGGGTGGTGGCCTTGGACTCATAGGGGCAAATTCAACCTCTCGCGAGAGGTCATTCTCACCCAGCTGTCCTTAGGGGCTCTTTTAAAAGTTATGACTGCTGCTGCCACCGCTTTTGGCGGCAGCTGCAACTAGCGCAGTGGGGGGGTCTGCTGAGCTGCCCTCCCTGCCTTTTTCAGGCTCCGTGCCGGAGTGCTGGGCCTGAAAAATGGCCTGCAGAGCCACCCCCGCCCTCCCCTCCTTTTTCAGGCTCCGCGCTAGAATGCCGGGCCTGAAAAAGGGCCAGCCGAATGTCAATTTTGGCCCCATTATATCCTATGGGCCATCGAAGTCAATGGCGAAAACATAGGGTATATTCTGAAGGCTGGAGGGGAGGGGGTTTGAGGGAGAGTCTCCAAACTTGCAGGGTAGCTGCTGGAGCCTCTCCCCAAGATACCAACCAAGTTTGAATAACATAGGACCGGAGGTCCAATTCTACGAGCCCCCAAACAGGTTGCCCCTATCCCCTCTTCTGCATTCTTGGTGCTTGGGGGGCAAGAGTGGGAGGGCTCCTGGAGTTTTGGCCCTGCTGGTGGACCTCCTGAGGGCACCTGGGTTTTGTCCAGTGTTTCCTCTAAGTGCAAGCTAGCTAACAGTTTTTTAGCCTCCGGCTCATACATTTTTGTCTTAATTCAGGAAAGATGCCTCCAGAGCAACCTAATTTATGCAGTAGCCAAATTGCTCACCCATAGCTTTAATGCCAGTTGCTCACAAAGGAGCATCCCGGGAGAGGCCTCTGGCCCCATATCTATGAAAGCAGCCCACCTATAGAGCACAACAAGGAAAGGAATGAAGGAACCTACTCCTCTAATATTTGTATGAATATAATTAGTATATATTGATTATAAACATCTGTTCTCTTCTCCCCAGTAGGGACCCCAGTAGCTTATTTTTGTTATATTTATTATTAATTTACTTAATTCATTTATACCCTACTTTTCTCCTCAATGGGGGCCCAAAGTAGCTTACATCATTCTCCTTCCCCCATTTTTTTCTCACAGAAATCCTGTGAGATAGGTTAGGCTGAGAGAGTGTAACAGGCCCAAGGTCACCCAGCAAGCTTCTATGGCCTGAGTGGGGATTTGAACCTGGGTATTCCAGATTTTAAGTTCTCCTGCGGTCTGACCAGTAATCTATTCAGAACTATCAGATCTGCTGTGCTCTTCTAATCTTTCTGTTGTAGCATCTAGCCTAGAAATGCTGCACAAAAGTTGATCCTACTTAAACTGTTACACAGCCAGCTATTTCATAGCTTCTACATATCTGGGTACTAAATGTTTGATTTGTTGCTACTGACATTGATATCGGGAAAGCAGATCTGCAGTTGTCTTAGGCCAGAGGCTCAGAGCTAGATTTTATTTAAAGGAGGCTTCTGGCTTTTACTGCAAAGAACAGTCCCTTGTCTCTTCCCCCCTCTCTCTCTGTCTATCTGTGAACATTGATAACCCTGCTTTTCTTCCAAATGGGGACCCCTCCAGAAGGCTTATGTCAGGGGTCTGGCCTTCTGACACACTTCCGGTGATGTCAGGGGGTGTGGCCTCATGACACACTTCCAGTGATGTCAGGGGGTGTGGCCTTCTGACACACTTCCGGTGATATCAGGGTGTGTGGCATATGCTAATGAGTTATGCTAATGAGCTCCTGCAGCTCTTTTTCTACAAAAAGACCCCTGCACAGGGCCCTGATCTCTTCAGGAAGCTCATTCCACCAGTGTGGAGCCGCCACTGAAAAAGCCCTGGCCCTGGGGACAGCGAGCCTGGGGATGGTCAATCGATGTTGTGACCCCGACCGTAGTGCTCTCTGGGGTATATATGGGGAAAGGTGGTCCCTCAGGTACATCAGACTCTGGCCATATAGGGCTTTAAAGGTAAGTACCAGCACCTTGAAGCGAACTCGTTATGCTATTGGCAGCCAGTGCAGTGCCTTCAGCATAGGCCGGATGTGCTCCCATCTAAGAAGACCCATCAACAGCAGGGCCGTGGCATTCTGCACTAGCTGCAGCTTCCTGATTTGCAACAAGGGCAGCCCCATGTAGACAGCATTACAGTAGTCTAATCTCGAGGTGACCATCGCATAGATCACAATACCTAGACTGCACCAGATGAGTGAAAAATGTTAGCGTCCATAACCCTGTTCAGTCATTACAGTTTTGGCCCGCCAAGCTGGGCTGTTTGGAGGGTTGACAGCTCCAGGTTGGGAAATACCTGGAGATTTCGTGGGTGGAGCCTCAGGGGCAGGGTTTGGGGAGGGGAGGACTTTGGTGGGGCATAATGCCATAGAGTCCGCCCTCCAAAGCAGCCATTTTCTCCGGATGACCTGATGTCTGTTACCTGGAGATCCACTGTAAGGAGATCTCCAGCCACCACCTGGAGGCTGGCATCCCTACTAGGGCTGCCTAGTGGCTGGGCTGCCCCTGTTTGAGCCTCAGTGCAATCCTAAAGAAAGTTAGACCCTTCAATGGGCCTGGGGGCCACTGTGGTATAGTGATTAGAATGCAGAACTAGGATCTGGGAGCTCCGGGTTCGAATCCCTGGTCTGGCGTGGAAGTTTGCTCGGTGGCCTTGGGTCACATCACACCTTGTGAGGATAAAATGTAAGAGTAAGAAGAAGAGATTGGATTTATACCCCACCTTTCAGTACCCGAAGGAGTCTCAGAGCGGCTTACAGTCTCCTTTCCCTCCCCCTCCCCACAACAGACACCCTGTGAGGTAGGTGGGGCTGAGAGAGCTCTTTCAAGGACTGCTCCTGAGAGAACAGCTCTGAGAGACCTTGTGACTGACCCAAGGTCACACCAGCAGCTGCATGTGGAGGAGTGGGGAATCAAACCTGCTTCTCCCAGATTAGAGTCCGTGCTCTTAACCACTACACCAAAATGGAGGAAGGGAGAATGATGTAAGCAACTTTGTGTCCCCTTGGGGAGAAAGGCCTGATATAAATAAATAAACTAAATCAAACAATAAATTGAAGGATGTGACTCTTGCTTGAACTACAGTAAAATCATGCTGATTTACATTCCCTCAAAGACTCTTGTGATCCACGTGAGAAAACGTCTTGATTTTCCAATCACTGGCCAATGGGAAGTGGAAACCGAAACGGAAGGCCAGGTGGAATTGGACGTGTTTGACGCTGTCATGGTTTGCTCCGGCCATCACGTCTATCCAAATATCCCAGCTAATAATTACCCTGGTAAGTGATCGTACCATTTTCAAACAAAACGAATTAATGTCAACCTTAACTTGAGTATCCAGTTCATAAATTTTTCGTAGGAGTGGTTCAAAAGACTTTTGTGCCTTTTGATTACCTTTTGCCGAAGGATGGGATTAAAGCTTGGTTTTACGTTCCCTTTTTTGGTGAGGGGGTGTTTACATTGCCAGAACCTGGTAGTTTAATTCCGGTCTGCTTTTGCCATCTATGGAGCTGCGGTGGCTCAAGTGGTTAAGACGCTGAACTGCAGGCTGTGGAAGGTCAGTAGTTCAATTACATTGCCAGTAGAGCAAGGGAAAATTCCGGTTTACCTTTGCCATCTAATTTTCACCACTGCAATGAATTTCCAGGCTCCGTTTTCATGCCCTTAAGGGGTGATTCCTCCCTGCTTTCTCAGTGGCTGTTGTGATCATGTGTCCTTGGGAGAGGGGTCTTGGGGCAGTGTTATTCAAGTACAAGGCGATTTCCAAGCGAAAACAAGCAACTTTTCATTTTGCAGTTGTTGGGCTAGCAGGGCCTGGTTAGTTAGCAGCTACCCATTCCAGCAGCCTTTAGCATTGGGTCTGGCAGCTAAGAACACAGCTATTTTGTTTGTTTATTTGATTTGTACCCTGCAAGATGGCAAGAATAGACAGAAGAACTATACAAGAAAGACCTCGATGTCCTTGACAACCACGACAGTATAATCACTGACCTCGAGCCAGACATCCTGGAATGTGAAGTTAAATGGGCCTTAGAAAGCATTAGTAACAACAAAGCTAGTGGAGGTGAT